ATTCCTTCAAATAGCGAAAATATGGGGGTGTCTTCATCTTAAGTGCGACACACTGTATGTTAAATTCACTTAATTTTGACTTCTTAATGTTGCTGTTTCTAATCGTAACACTTTCAAATGTTGTATTTAGTATTTTAACAAACGGTTCTTTATGGGATACGATGCTTCCGGCTATAAAAACTCCTTTTGCTATTTCTTCATTTAAAATTACTGCATCTTTAGTACTTTTAAAATTGGTTATTTTGCGGATTACTTCGCAACAAGGTGGAATGATTAACATATCTTCTTCGGGACTATTACAGATTGGTAATGCTGTTTCTTCCCCTTTTGATCTTAGGGTCATATTCCAATCAGAGTAATCTAACCGACATTGGTATGTAGAAATAAAATATCTACCTAAAATTCCATCGGTTGGGATGCGGAAATCTTCAGCAACGACGTAAAAATTGTGTTGTATTTTATAATTATTTACATAAATGTACGTTTCAGTTGTTCTTAACGAGTTGGTACAACCATTCGAAACGCCTTTAATTTTACTAGCTTGGGATCTGTTGAGGATTTGCTTCGAATTTATTTTTATCCTTTTGAACAAGCACCGGTATCTACTAAATGAATCACTGTTTCGTTTTTTGTCATGTCGGTTTGTACAGCAATAAAATTTGAAAGTGATAAGTCCAAATTGTACACTTTTAAAATTCCTACAATGGACCCAATTGGGGATCTAGTAAGTTTCCCTGCTCCTGTTCAGCACGTCTGCTCTAATATAACGGTTGCCTCTTCCTCTCTGATTATATCTTCTGTGATATTCTCCACGTGATCTATCAACTTGTCTACCCCTATAACTATTTCCACGGGGCTGCTGTCCATTTCCACGATAGTAACCACGATGCTGGTATCCTCTGTACGCATTTGAACTAGCTCTATTTGCATATAAAACTTTTGCACCATTTTCAGCATTAGTTGCATTATTGGAAATGTTAATAAACTTGGTAATAGCATCCTAACTTGTTTGGAAGTTTCCTGCCTTCATAATTATTTTTGCTTTTTCGGCCGCGGCGTTCTTTGTTTAAGGCTTTGTTTAAGGCTTTTACTGTAGTTTTAGCGGCGTAGGCATCAGCTACGGCTACAGGAACACCTTTGCTTATATAAGCTCTTCGAAGCCTTGTGGCAAGGGCATCTACTTTAGATGCATATTTTGCTGCATCCTTTTGAGATTGTTTCAAAGCTAATAGTTTAGCACTTACTAGTTCCGAACTTTCTGGTTTGATACCGCCTTTTAATTTTTCAATAATTATCAAAATTGTCTCGCCGTCTGATATTAAATCACGAGCTTTTCCTGTAAGTCGCGTCTTGATATATGATACCGCATTAGCTTCATGTCCTTGCGAGTTTTCTTTCAACAGTTCCAAGGCATCTATAAAGGACTGCATTTTATCCGGCGCACCATCGAAGTCGGTTGGCAAAACTTTTCCAGCGAAGTTAAAAAATTCTATTTTTCTCATTGCCATCTTGATAGTAAGTACTGCTTTTCTTCCTCCGAATCGCTATCGTCAGTACTAATACCAGACTCCTTTATATTGGGATCGATTATTTCAATGCAGGACGTTGGTACTTTAAATGTAACATTTAATACTTGATATGAGCGAATTATTCTATCCCTTATGTATATATATGTGCAAAGTTCGTTTTACGTCTCGCTGTGATTCATCAAGAAAATACCAATTCCAAGTCGCAGTTTTTGTAAATTGATTATGATAGTCGAGTAACTTATCCCTTACTTCGTCTTGTATTGATATTGTTCTGGGCACTTGAGTTTTAAGAACTCGTTTCGATTCTTTAACTACTATAGTAGAATTATAATTCTTTAATTTTACTTAATTTACTTAATATAGAACTCTATTCGATTCTTTAACTACTAATTCTTTAATTTTACTTAATTTACTTAATATAGTCTCCCAATTTATGTTCATTTATTTTATTAAGTTATATAATATTATATAATATTTCAATATAATTATATATTATATTACTATATTATAATATTTGAATTTAAAATTTTATAAATAATTTAATAACGAAATAACATATTTTCACTTTGTCAGCCCAAATAATGTTCTAATTAATAACTGGACACAAATAGATTGTATATTTCACAATTAGCAAATATAAAATTTACATAACATACCAAGCTGCCCAGCAACATTTCTTGGGTCGTTGTCCTTCGTCTGTTGGCCTACTTATCTCCTGTTTTGTGATTCTGCGATGTTTAACCTCTGGGGCTCCTGGATTGAATTGATGAACTCGGACTGGATTTTGGGCTTCTTAAGCGTCTACAGCTTGGCTTATCAGCATCATACTACGGGTGAGGTTTCTTTTCATACTTCTTTTTAGTGCTTTTCTCAATTTTAACCCCAGAATTGTTATGATGACACCAACAGCAACATATGCCAAAATTTAAATCTAATGGCGCTTGGACTTCGTTCTTTTTTACAATGAAGTTTGAATTTACCACTCTAGTATCTGTCACTTCACTGTGTTTCGAATTTGTCTTGCCCATTTTTCTTCTCTTCACTTAAAACCTTACTTAACTTAACGCACTGGAGCTGGCAGGATCGCCATGTAATGCTGGGACTTAAGGCACTTGGAATTATACTCGTAAATACTTTTACAACCTTCTATATTAAGTCATATCTTGCTTCTGTGTACAATTAACAATAGCTGTTTCCAAATAATACATATTGACAACTCAGCAATTGCCACGTAACAATAATTAAATAGTATTCACTAATGATGTTGCACTACACACGCGACATTTATAACATTATTTGTTGTATCAGAGATTTTAATATTATATTATCGTTATTTGAATTGAAAGGATCTGCGATTGCCGTGTCTGTATGTATTTTATTTAATTCTAAATTTTTACATTGAAAATGTTTCAATTGATTTAATTTATCTAAATAATTTTGTTTTGTTTACTTGGTTTGTGGATTATTTAATAATTATATTTCTCTAACTTTAATCTCCATCTTACTAATTATGAGCCCAGATCTTTTACTGAGAATAACCACGTCAAAATATAAGGTGAACAATTCTTTTATTTGTGTTTTATTATGTAAAAATATATACAGTCTTGTTGGTAATTCCGGGTATCCATGTCGCCAATATTTACTAACTAATTTGCATCCAAGAAACCTAGCCAAACAACGATACAATACAGCTTAATTGTGACAAGAAACCCAATAGAACGATTATTTGGTAAAAAGACGCTTTCGGTATTTGGCCAAATGAAAAGTATGTATAATATGTGCATTTTAGACAATGATGATGATGTAGAAGATTTTAAGGAACTTGACGACGACGAAAGAGAATGGTCTGATAATGAAGACAACAAAATTGAAGGGAAGAACGAAGCTGTTCGTACTGCCCTAATAAATACCATTTTTGGGTTAAATTATTATTTTTTATTAATATTAAATATTTAAGTTTATTATTACTTTTTAAAAAGTTTATCTTATGTTTTAGAAAAAAACGACTGTATATGTTAAATATTATTTGAATATTTTTAATATCTAAGGTTATTTAATTTTGGAATTACAATATATATTTTTAAAATTTTGTCTAATTTACCAACATCTACACACTGTTAAAGTCGTGTTTTAAAGAAAAATAGAAAATATAGTTGGTCCACGATGAGACAAGGCATAAAAACTTTCAAATTAATTCGCTTTTTTTTAAATCGCGACTTAAATAGTAAATTAAGACTTTTTGTAATTTTTTTTCGAACACGAATCCTGTCCTGTTAGCTTAAATTCAGCAATTAATTGCGTGTATTGAAGAATCTTGGTACGTTATTTATAGAGCTTCGAGTTTCCTGCAAAATTCTCCCTAATTTTTTTTTCCTACAGTAAATATTATAATGCTATATTATGCAGAATAATGAAAATAGGATTTTAGACAATAACTTTTGAACTGTAGGTGATAAAAATATTGTTTGTAGAGCATTAAAAGATCTTCAAAATTGCTAATTAACTTTTTCTTCTACGATTAGTACTTTAGCTGCTAAATGTAAAAATATCATTTTTTTTAGAATTTATACGTTTCAACATGAATAAAAAAAGAGTAGAATCTACAAACTGGACTGTTTGTAAGATTTTTTGTAGATAATTAAATGCTAAAAAAGGACCAGTAATTGTTTATAAAAAAAAAAGTTCTACATAGTATGCAGGCGAAATAAATATTAAAAACCTATTTTTTCATGTTAAATCAATGAGAAAATTTTAAATTCTATGATGGACCTTTTAAAATTAATATTAAGAGCTCAAATTTTGACTTTTAATTTTTTTAGCATAAGTGATGAGAATCACATGAATTTGAAGAAGAAAAATATTGCCTTATTTTGAAACACCCTAATGTAAATGTATGAGAAATAAAAAACAACATTTTAAAAATAAATATTTTAATTACAACAATCCTAAAAATTAAAAATATTCAAAATACCTTTAACGTTAACAGTTGTTTCCTTTTAAAACATTAAAAAACTTTCTAAAACATAATAATAAACTGGGAAAATTAGAAAAGGCACTAATATTAAAATTTGTATTATCACATATTATTATGGAAATTAACATATTTTCGTTAATACTGCAAAAGGTCGTATGTCACTTTTGCATATAACTTTTCAGGACCAAAAAACGTTTCAGCAGTATCAACGACGATATGGTTATTAAAATTACATGAAACCTAATGCCATGGTGATTCATGTAATAATAATTTACAGTGAAATATGTAATTTAAGATATATATATCAACACTTAAATCAGTTTGCATAATTAAAATTGCTTATTTTAATTATGTAAACTGATTTAAGTGTTTCTTCTTTACTGGAACCAGCAATTCTCTTTCCAGTACAATTTTCTTTATGTCTAACTGTTTAACTTTTAAATCTTACAGTTCGTTTTCTTTTATTATGTCCAACACTTCCATATTTTCTCACATACTAATGTTTTCTTATCTCTCCTGTTTTTTTCTTCTTGTCTGGAATTATCTGTTAAGCTTTTTCCTTTGCTTTGGATGTTAAGAGCGATCTTGTTAGGTGTCCTCAAGTTTCGCAATTGTTGGGTATTGCGATGGTCTGATACATTATAACTGGTACTGTTCCTTGTTGGATCCACCTTCAAAATCGGTTGGTTTAGGGATAAAGCTTCTTCAGTTTCCGCATATTCAAAATTATTAATGACGTCCTCGACGGTGTCTATGTATTCAACTTTAGAATCGAATTCATTGGGGATGTGAAGAAAATTCTCGAAAATGACTCCTAGGACTTTATCATCTTTAGGGGTACTGAGTAAAGGTGCCTGAACCTGTTTTGTACCTGTGGACCTAAAAGTACGAGTGACATGAATAAAATGATAGTTTAATGTAGGTTGCTTAAAATTTTACAAAATGTAAACATAGGCACTTTTTCTCTGACTGAACAGCGAATAAAAACTTTTCTTTGAATAACTCACCTCGTATAAGGTAACTGGGATAACTGGGATCCTGTGTACTGTTAAACGCGTTTACTATTTAAGTTTCCCAACAGTCTTCATGACACCGTTTGTTTTTTTATTTTCAACAATATGAAAATAACTTTCAACAATGTTTAGCAAATTTTCTTTTTCTCGTTCACTAAAGTTTGTGTCTCGGCTTTTTTTTTGTTTTTATGTTGCATTCAGTCTCCATGACCAGTCAACATTTATATTAGGGTGGATCAAAAATCATATTGAAATTATAAAAGTTTTTTTTAGTATCGGTTGGCAAAATTTGCCACAAGTTTATTATGTATTTTCCTGAATTTTATTTATTTTTTTGTCCGCCCTATTTGGAAATGCTTCTGGCATGTCTAAAAGATATCTATATGAAAACTAGAGGCGGTATGAGTATTTTTGTAGGTGCCCCAAACAATAAAACTATTTTATTTGCATATTTTATTAGGTTTGAAGGTAAAGAGCTACAAATAAACTTAAAAATTAATATAATTATAAAATTAAGAAAAATATACCTAAAATATCAAAAACTAGGGAATAATTGGGCGTGAGAAAATTATTTGAATCTAAAGTCGGATTTTGTATCAAATTATTTCATTATGTTTCTTGATTCAAGCCTAGATCTTATAATAATAATAATAACTTTATTAACGGATAGCCATATACATATTACAATTTACAATAAATCATGTATTGCTTACATATTTTTAATTTATTTTTAAAGACCGTTAGAGAACAATTCAAAAAATCTAAATTTAGATCATTTGCTTCGGAACAGATTCTACTTAAGGGCATAAATTTACCATACGTAGTCCTATGGGTCTTTATATAAAATAATTGTAGTTGCCTAACAAATCTGGGCAATTAATAAAATTATTTAAAAGTTTATATAAAAATAAAATGCAAAATTGACTTCTTCTTTTATCAAGTCGATCCAAATTGACAGTACTTCTAACTAAGTCTAAGGAATAAGTACAGTCAATGTTCAGCTTGAATGCGCAAAATCGCAAGAATTTATTTTGTACTCGTTCGAGTTTAACCTTATTATTCTCATAATAAGGTGACCAAAAAACACAACAATACTCTGGGATACTACGCACGAATGACATATACACATTTTTTAAACATTGAACATTATTAAAATCCTTAAGACTACGTTTGACAAATCCGAGCATCTTTAAAGATCTATTTACAATATAATCAATGTGATAGGAAAATGTTATTTTGCTATCAAAATAAACACCCAAGTCTTTTATATTAGTGACTCTTTCTAAAATAATATTACCTAGAGAGTACGGAAACACAATATTTCTTTTAATTCTATAAAAACTTATACACTTACACTTAATTAACATTAAGATTCATCAAATTTTGTTCACACCACAATTGTAATTGATTGAGATCTAACTGAATATTATAGCAATCATTAAAATCATTAATTTCTTTGTACAGCTTTAGGTCATCTGCAAACAACAAATATTTACAATACTTAATATCACAGACAATATCGTTAATAAATAGATTAAATAGCAGTGGAGAAATATGTCCACCCTGAGGTATACCAGAAGTAACCCTAATTGTTCTGGACTTATATTGATTTTGAACTATTACAGTTTGAATTCTAGAATCTAAATAACTTTTTAACCATAAATAAAAAATTTCTGTAAATCCATCCCTTATGTCTTCTGTTACCAATTTTATACATCGCGATGCATCGCTTGGTTCCTTATGTGTGGCATGGAAAGCTAGGCAAATAGGTAAATTTAGCTGGAGAATTTTCATTTGACAAGAAATTTTTTTAGTCTTCATCAGAGATGTCTTTCAAAACTGGAGGCTTTAATCGCTCGTTCCTATCAGTCCTGTTAAGGATCTATAGGAAATCCTGGGTATTTTCTCTTATTGTGTTATAAACTGCGACTTGGTTTTGAATTTGAATTAAAATTAATTATTATAATATTTTGTGTTTTATTCTCGATGTTGATTGTATAACAATTTATTTAAGACTATTACGTGTGCACCTATTACATAAAATTTTACATTGGAGGGGAATGCGCACATGCGCTCTTCAACAAAGTACAAACTTATATAATATCTTACATTAATTGAAACGCTTAACAAGTCCAAACAATTAAATTCGTATAATCAGTTGCTAGTGTTAACAATCGTACCATTGCATCCGATTGCTATAAGTGAATCAGTAATAAACCATTTTTATTAAAAAAAAGAATACCATTTTTAATATTAGCCGCAGATCCAGACGAGATAGCCAAATGCCCCAGGTATTGTATATAAGGGAAATATGTTCTTCTTTGACAATCCTTATAATATTTTTTAGTTTATGTTTTAGTTTTATATTTTCTTGCCGAAAAAGAGGCCAGATACATTTGATTGTTGTAAATTTTGTCTGTGTCTTTCACGTTCTCTATGCACTTTATTTCGATCGATAAGTTTGTTAGTATTCGTTCGCTGATAAGGCAAAGGTCCTGCAGGAGAGTGGAAAAAAGGGATGCAGCTGCTGTCTGAAATTCTACGACGATCACATTTTCTGGCAAAAGTAAAAAGTTTATGTCTCATTTGATCCTTTAAATATTCATAAGAAACAGAAGAACAAGAGGGTTGTGAATCGAAGTCGTGTGAATCACACGAGGGTCCTAATGCATATGATTTATCGCTATCTTCTTTCTTTTCATTTTCTTTCTTCTCTTTCTCTTCATTTTCCGATGAATTGCTGCTTCTAAACTCTTATCATTCACTCATTTTTTTGGTGCTAAGTTGATGCGATTCTGTTTCAGTCTGATTTCCTTGTAGCTTCGAGTTTTTATCTCTTCTCATCTTAATTTCTTGTCTTTTTTGTGGCTGCTTGGAATTTTTTTTTTCGACTGGCCCTTTTATCATAATTCTGGTACTTCGCTGATCGGTTAAAAATTGTATTTCATCAACTGGAACCTTCCTTCCCTTTAAACAGCAGCATGATGCAAAATTTTTGCATTTGTAGCAGGCAATGTCAAAGAGAGTTTGTTTCCACTTGCACTTTAAATCGTCCAGTTTCTTTTTGCATCTCTCAGATTCTTTTCTACTAGAGTAGGTTGAAAACAAAATGTTTGTTTTTTTTTCTTAGCATGGGGGTAGAATTTGTACCTTATAAAAAAAGAAAATTTATCAAAAGAAAAAACTCAACATCTTGAGGTGGCCCACTCGTTTTTTAAATAATTATTTAATGAAATGGGGTAGTTCCAATGGGAAATTCTTTTTTTGGTCCAAAATCGTGGAAAACATGTAAAAATTGTAGAATGTGATTTTTTTCACTCAACTTTTATTCTAATACAAAAGAAAGTGCATTTCATTTTTTAATTTTTTACTTAAATTACAAAAACAATGGGGAAAAAACTTTTGACTTCCAATTGGCTTTTAAGGGGACACCCTACAGATTCTAGAACGTAAAAAAGAATTTCCCGTTGGATCTACCCCATTTGAAAAACCTTATGATGTTGAGTAAAAAAATTGTTTTTCTTGAAAAATTTCCTTTTTTTATAAGGTACAAATTCTACCCCCATGCTAAGAAAAAAAACAAACATTTTGTTTTCAACCCACCCTATTTTCTACCCTTGTATGGTTTTAAAAACTTTCTGTATTCGCTGTTACCTTTTCAACGATTTTCTTATTTGAAATTATTGGAATAGAAGACTTGTTCCATATAATTTCTAACGAGTCCGCTACCTTTTTTAAAACCAATGAAGCAGTTGTTTTCATGAGTTTTTTTGTCATGTTTCTGACAAATAGGAAGTTTTGAATTAGGGCTGCATTGGTAGGAAGTACTATAGGATAGATTTTCTAATGAGGATTTTGCCTGAACTTATTTTGTAACTTGGAAAAAATAGTTGAAATAAATCTATCAGCAAACGAAAAAGTTTAGCAACAAGCACTAAAAACAAATAAAACAACAAGCATTTCAGGAATATATTTATTGACAAAGATAACAAACATCTTATATTAATTACACAAAAATATGATATATATATATACAAAAAAAAAATTAATTTTAGGGATGGGTTGGGCATCTGCAGGGAGTGTTCTAGAAATTTTTTTGGCTGAAAAATACTTACTTGACCATTTCGCAATCAAATTTTTAGACTTAGAAATGAATTGAATATATTGTAACTTAATCATACCGTCTTCTGCCCTCTTTATTCGATTGATCAATTAGATCGACTGATCCGTCGGATTGTTCATCCTCCATCTGCTCCGTATGAGATATCCCATGTGCTTACTGTCGCCTTCTCTTCTGTTTTTAATTCGCTGCTTTGTTGATCGCGAAGAAATTTTGTTCTAGTTTGCGGTCCTTCGAACAGCTTGCGTTTTCTGGCTGGGCCTTTAAATTAAACGAAAAAATGAATAAAGTAAAAGTCCCCTTTGTGCCTTTTATGCAAATTTTTATATTTAAATAATTGAGCGCGGCGCTAAACAATATTATTTATCATTAACCCAAATTGCAAGCACAAAAATGTTAAAACTGTTTCTGAATCTTAAGCGTTTAGACTTTTCATTACTTGAATAAAAATTCAAATTCCTTGTTGAGAACAGGGCAAAATCGGCATTTGTTTATTAAAAAATTATTCAAATTAGCATCAAAGACGAATAGCATGATATTAAAAAAAGTTATTGCTCATTGCACTTGTTTTTCAATATCCTGTAAAGTTTTGTATTTACTTTACAAAATAATATTTTTTTAATTTAACGGTGCAAAAACTTTTAATTGCATTCTATGAAGGTTGTCCGGGAATGAGTTTTAGTGTTTTGATCGTGGTAGAACTGTGTCCTATCCTACAGCATTATATTTAAAATCCGATGCCAACTACTTGCAACCAAATTTCATATGGGTATAAATTCCATTTTTATGCGAATTTTTTATTATTTTGCAACGTAATTGCATTGTAAGTTCATGAGGCGTTGTTATAGTGTATGTGAATGAATAAAAATCTATAACAACCCTTTTAAAAATTTCGCCAATAGCAGTCGCAACCCTTGGCAACGTCGTATTCGCTGTCTCTTTCACCCTTACGCTTGCTACATACGTTCTCACTCACACCTATGTAGCACCGGGCGAGAGCGTTCCTATCTGACGTCAGCGATGTTGCCACGAATCTCCAGTGCAAGCGTCAAATTTCGTAAATTCACCCATTTAATCCAATAAAACTTTTTTCCTACCGACATGGTCATTATAAAACTTCGCTTATCATATTTTGAAATTACAGCATCATAAAGAATTTGTTTGTAAATTTTTATCAAATTCTGATCATTCGACACTTACTCCACGACAACCTTAATAAACAAATGAATTTTATTCAAAAAAAAATTTTACCGTGACTTGATATTATTGAGTAGAATATTTTAAAATACCTACTTACCTGGGATGTAAAAGTCACTTTTTGCTATATGGTTTATTTATCTAAAAGAATTGAATAAAAAACTTTTTTCTTTATCACAATAAACAAAAAGTAAATTTTGCATCCCAGGTACTTACAAAATAAACAAACAAACTTCCTATTTATATTTAATTAATCATAATTATTCAAATTTGATACTTTAATAATTAAATTAAAAACTTTATTTTTAACGTTTGTAATACTTGACTTCCTCTCTTTTGGTGTATTTAAAAAAGTACCTTTGAATTTATTATTATTATTAGCATTTTGCTTTGGATATTCCAGTCCGAAAATAAAATTTAACGCAAAAGTCATTAAAAAAGCACTTTCAAAACTATTCACAGGACTTGAACGTAAATTGTCTAGCTGGACAATGTACTCTAAATTACTTTCATCATTTTTTTAAATAAAAGAAGTAAGTAAGGTTTATTTACTATTCTAATTAAAATATACCTATTTCAACAATTGCTGAAGATAATATTTTTACCGGATTTTCAACATATCCATTCTAAAACATTGTCGGTTACATTTAACACAGAACATATACAATATACAATATTTGTAAAATATCTTCTTTAAAATGTTGTAAAACAACTTTTAAAGCATTTTTTTAGGTTAGCCGGTTCTGAAACAGGAATTAAGTTTTTTTCTCCAATATTTTTTATTTTTATGGATTTTTCAATAAATTTAATTTCATAAGGGATAACGTTTGTTAATATTTTAAAATAAGTTAGTGTTCCCTCTTTTTTTAAAAGCCCCGGCCATCCCTCAAAAATCTCTTTTATTTCCTATGTGCTGCTATTAATCCTCCATCAATGCGATAAAGTGGTTCCTACCGGGCGTTATTTTAAAGGTTTTTTTTTAATGCATCAGAGGGTCTTTGCAAGTGTTTTTCTTTTTTGCTCAGAACTTGTACATGTTCCGTATTTCTTTTATTCGGTCGGTTTAAATAATTATTTCAGTCTATAAGTTTGCAAAAGATAGGATCTTAACCATTCCTCAAAATTATGTTTTCTTCGTCATGGGCTTGAAAAGATTGTTTGTATTTGTCGACCATTCTCGACGCTACAATTTTAAACGCTTGTTAGGTATTGCAGGTATTGTTGTTTTAATTTTCTTCATACCATCCACTACATTGCGAATAACTTCTTTTGTTAAATTTAAAGACCGAACACCTGCAAATAATATATAAGCTAAAATTTACCGTTTGCCAAATTTTCTATATTTTTCAACGACAATTTCTGCCTCAGTGTTTTAGAAGTCTTTTAGCCTCTTTGCAGTTTGTAGGGCCCTTTATAAAAACCCATGACTGTCTGAGGCCTTGTTGTTCTCGCCATTTGTTCTGAAACTGGTTGTTATTCTAGTTCCTGATCTTGGTTTTCACCATTATTTACTGCACTGGCATTACCGGTCCTCACCCACCTTTCGGTATCGAGATATTTTACTTCTTGCGGCTTGTGGCCACCCACTTGTCTAACGAAATCACTGCCAAAAGAACCCACCAACCTCCGCCTGAGATTCGGACAATCCCCTTATCTTCCTAAAAATTAGCGGGGAAAGCTGCTCTTTTTTACTCTCTTTATTTGTATCTTACAAATGCAATTATCCAATTGTCCATAATTACAAAATTTCCAAATAATATCAAATGAAACTCTAATTCTAATTTTCAGATTCTCCTTCTGTGGTGTCTTCTACCACCTATTCTGTCCATGTATTTAGCGCTCTTACTTGTTGTTTGTCTTGGAATTTGGAAAAGAAGGTTTTTAGTGTTGGCATATCGCTTAAGATTAAAACTAAATACAGTTTTGTCCATTATTTCAGCTGCAGCTCTCCTACATAATATTGCTAAAAACATGAACGAACCAGATCCGCCATTGCCTGCTGATATTAATGCCAATGAACTGGAGTACCTTATGGAAATAGGGCAAATACCAGATGTTCCTCATCCACAAGATCCCATTATGTTTCAAATAATACCAGATTATTTTGCGAATTTATAAAATTTAATGTGAATAATTTTTTTGATGTTTAATTGAATTTATACATATTTAAAATTAAAATAAAATAAATAGTCACTTCTTGTTTATTATTATAATATATTAGGTTTTTTGTTTTTCTTCTAAAATTTTTAAATCCAAAAGTCTTCCTTAGCTTATAATTAATATAAATATGGTATATTTAGCAGTTATATTTAGTTAAACTTCGCTTCTGAAGATGCGAACACCGTTGGCGAAAAGTACTTTAAGCACGTGTTTTGTTTTGGTGTATTTGGAGTATTTCTAATATTTTTTTGGTATAGTAGGCTAGTAAAGAGATAA